ACCCCATAAAAGGTTGATGCATAAGCTGGAGAAACAGGCAGGAGTAACTGGTAGGGCGCTCCAGTGGATAAGGGAGTACCTAAGCAATAGGAAGCAGAGAGTTACAGTGAGGGGTGAGACCTCAGACTACCGTGAAGTCACCAGTGGAGTCCCACAGGGCTCTGCACTTGGATCTATCCTGTTTCTGATATACGTAAATGATCTCCCAGAGGGTATAGACTCATTCCTCTCAATGTTTGCTGACGACGCCAAAATTATGAGAAGGATTAAGACAGAGGAGGACAGCTTGAGGCTTCAAGAAGACCTGGACAAGCTGCAGGAATGGTCGAACAAATGGCTGTTAGAGTTTAATCCAAGCAAATGTAATGTAATGAAGATAGGGGTAGGAAGCAGGAGACCAGATACAAGGTATCACTTGGGAGATGAAATACTTCAAGAGTCAGAGAGAGAGAGAGAAAGACCTAGGGGTTGATATCACGCCAAACCTGTCCCCTGAAGCTCATATCAAGAGGATAACAGCAGCAGCATATGCCAGGTTGGCTAATATAAGAACGGCCTTTAGAAACTTGTGTAAGGAATCTTTCAGAACATTATATACCACATATGTCAGACCAATCCTGGAGTATGCGGCACCAGCATGGAGTCCATATCTAGTCAAGCATAAGACTAAAATGGAAAAGGTTCAAAGGTTTGCCACCAGACTAGTACCCAAGCTGAGAGGTATGAGCTACGAGGAGAGACTACGGGAATTAAACCTCACTTCGTTGGAAGACAGAAGAGTTAGGGGGGACATGATCACCACATTCAAGATCCTCAAGGGAATCGACAGGGTTGATAAAGACAGGCTGTTTAACACAAGGGGCACACGCACAAGGGGACACAGGTGGAAACTGAGTGCCCAGATGAGCCACAGAGATATTAGAAAGAACTTTTTTAGTGTCAGAGTGGTTGACAAATGGAATGCATTAGGAAGTGATGTGGTGGAGGCTGACTCCATACACAGTTTCAAGTGTAGATATGATAGAGCCCAATAGACTCAGGAACCTGTACACCTGTTGATTGACAGTTGAGAGGCGGGACCAAAGAGCCAGAGCTCAACCCCCGCAAGCACAACTAGGTGAGTACACACACACACACAAGAGAGCGCGCTCACAATAATAGTGGACACAGCAATCAAACACTTCTTGAATCAACACATCACAGAGCCAATGAGAGTAAGGGGAGAGGATCCTTCAGTAATACTAGACTTGGTGTTTACCCAAAATAAGGCTACCATTAAGAAGATGGGTTATATGAGATGACACTAGGAACTGGTGGCCCCAACATCCTCGTGCTTGAATACATTACATGTTGCTAAAGGAATTGGACAGACTAATAGACATGCTGAGGAAGATGACATACTACAGACCAGGGGGACCATACCAAGGTGAGAGAGTCTATTAGAGGGCCATTGGGGGGCGGATGTGCGGACGACAACAAATAAGGCGATGGAAGTTATTACTCAGAAATGTGCTGATGCAATGTGGATGTACACCCCCCTCTCAAGGAGGAGGTAGACCAGAAAGGTAAACCCTGGTTTAATAGGTATTGCTGTGGAACAAAGAAGAGGACCACAAAAAGCATAGAAAAAGTACACAAAGCTAGGAAAAGAGGAAAATAGAGATGCACTAAAGAGAGCCAAAAATGATTACACCAGAGTCAGTAGGGAAGCCCAGACATTTCTAAAATGGCATTACAGCAAAAGCTAAAGACCAGCCAAAGCTGTTCTATAGCCATATACAAGGAGAAAAACAATAGTGGAAGACCATGTCATCAGGTTAAAGATACAAGGGAAAAGTGCCACAGAAAATGACAAT